AAATTGGTATCTGCATTTTTATTTAAATGCGCCTGCGCTCAACGACATAAAGCGTTCTCTCGTTTCGACTCCAATCCCTGATTAAACGGGTTCAAAATACCAGTTTTCCATGAATTCACTGTTAGATCCGGCCCGAGCAAACTGAACTTACAAGCCCGCCAAGGACACCAGTTGGTCGGTCTATTCCTAAAGCGCGACAAAACAAGATATCGTCTCAAGGTATGAAAGGAGGAATGCCGCGAGTCCCATGTTTTGACAACCTGTCATCGCAGGATCCCACAACACAAACCTGGGGCGGCAAGAGTCCAGCATGTTTACCTCGTTTTTTTCTTCATTGTAGTCAAGGAAGCCATTTCCTTTACTGAAGGCATTTTTCATATTTTCAGCTGTCGATGTCCCGAAACGGTAAAATCTTGCATTTTGTTCTCCAATGACTTCATTTGGTGATAGTTTTAGATGAAATAAACCGCAGCTAAATAACAAACGCTAAGGGCACGAGATATCGAAAATAAAAACGGAAAATGTTCGGTCGTACGTTCGTTTGACGCTTTTTTTTTAAAGTAACCATGATTGCTTTACTTTGTTTTAACCACAAAACTGAGAAAAATCCAAATTGTCCCTTTCTATTTTAATCTCAAGCCACAAAATGTAAAATTGCCGGACTATACTCTATTTATTTTAAATGTTTGATTGTGACGTGGGGTTAGTACAAGAGAACATAATTAATGTCGTCTGATATGTATTCTAACAGCCGGGGTTCAAAGAAGTAATTTTATTTGTTTATGTATGTCAATAACAGTGGGGTTTTTTTTCAAAGTTATTACTGGAGCCCAGGTCCTGCGTCAGTTCATCGTCACATGCACACCACTAGTATTGTCACTATAATTATATTGGTAAATAGTTTTTCTAGTTGTCTCTCTTATTGTATTTGGTGGTGTGACGTATTTTTGATATTGATGCTGAAAAGCCCTTTTCAGGGATGCTCAATACAGTGTAATGCATGGGGGGAGCAGGCAGCGCACATTTGATCTTGCCGCTTTTCCGCAATACATGATGCGCACACGTAAAGAAATCTGTCAATCATTCGAGACACGTACCTCTACGGGAGTTTGCTGTGGGAATTTTCCATCCATGGTGTGCCCACACTGACCAAAGTTCAGTTAAACAGGCGGACCGAATCGTTCCCATAGATGTTTGAACGTGGAATCGTCTAAAATATTTCTGAAAGAACACAAAACGCATCGTCATGTCCGCCATCGTCGGCCATGTTTATTTTAAACAAACTCAGTACTTAGTCTCGCTCGCTCGCCAAATTTCTTAAATGTGGTCAATCATATATACTAGGTCCTCCGGCCTCGCTGCTAGCCCCCCCTGAGTGTATGTATGTATTGTTTATTGACTGTAGTTACTTTTTATGAAATGAAAAATATATTAGAAAATCGTATTGAAGCGCGAGTGCAATTCGCGATTGTTATGGGATACGAAGTGATATGGTTTTGAAGCTTCTCAAAATTGTCTGGAAGGCGCACTTGGAATTATTTATGTATTACTTTGTCAATATTTCGATTCTCGGCTTTTTTTGTTTTCTGTATTTAATTTCTTTTTTTTAACCGACGGCGAACCGACCTTCTTTCAACGGAGAGAGGGCGATGGGAAACGAAACATTTGATTAGGGGATGGCCTGATACAGCCTGCCTTTAAAAAAAGAGGCACTCTGGGAACGAAACGGTGGGCCTTAACGGGTATCGAGGTTTGTACACAATATTATGTTTCTTGACGAACATAGAGACAACTAGCTAATGTAAGGACTGATGTTCTTTGATATCTACCATAAATTTTCGTCTGAGCTCTACCGTAGCTGCAGTGCAGTTAGCAGCATCTGGTCTTGTAAACCAGCGGGTCAAGAGCTTCAAAATCTCTTCGGCCGAGCCGCTTCTTCTTTTATATTAAATTTATTGAATACTCCAATCAACTGTTATTTGCATTTCTAGTTATGCTTTCTGATTGGCTGTCCTACTCACAAATGTTTTTAGCTCATGATCATTGCGCTCTAATTATCCATTTTTTTAACTTATAGTTTATAGCCGACCTGGCTAAAAAAGATTGATCCTCAAACCTCAAGCTTCGTCTGCTCGGTCAACTGTTTCATCATTTCGTACAATTTTTCAGATTATGGCGCTTTATCCTCCGAGATATATCGACCAGCCGACGAAGGACAAGGTCTCATTCTTATCCACATCTGCGCGCTCATACGTTCCGACTCAATTCTATTTTTGTTTAGAAAGTTAATACACCGACTTTATATTATCGCCCAACTCGTTGTACAGCAGCCCCCTCCCTGTCCCAACCCTCCATCGACCTCCATCTTGAAAGCGGCCAGATGGGGGCCCTGGGGGACGAAGGTTTAACTAGCATACAAGAAGTTCCTTTAATAGCCCGATATGATGTGCAATTGGTGATCTATTTATATATCTCTGTAGCGTGATGATGCAACACTGATGTAAACAGACCGAACATAAACATATTCGCGATTATAAATGTACCCTTACCAAAGTTTTCATCATTCTCTCGACACACAAAGCAAGATGACAATGATTACCAAAGAAGTTTTCCATCGACAGAATAAACGGAATTGTACACAACGAAATGGGAATAGTCGTGAGAACCAAACCGAGAACTGCGACACACAACTTCTTCACGAACTGTGTCACCTAATCGAAGCTTTTTTTCACGACAAACACGATTGAAGATCCTTTGCTAGAAGATGCTCAAATGTACATCGGAGAAAACTTCGTTGTTAAACATGGAAATCCGTTCAACCTCCGCCGTACAATTTGCTCGCAAACCATTCTGGTGTCGTGTTCACAGAGCTCAGGAAACTGAAGCCAGTTTCGCAATGTCCTTATCAAATGGAGGTCCAAAAGAATGCGCACGTGCCCTAACGCCGGAGGCAGCTCAGAGAAAAGTGAAATTCTCAGTTTTGAGTTGCTTCAGAGGTGTTTTGGAGCAGATCTACAAAAAACTGAAATGGAAGTACAGTATTTCCCTAATGGCGGTGCCATTACTGATTATACTTGCGTGATGTTCAGCGGAACACTTGGAGTGTCTGTCACGCGAGCTATGAAGTATCACGGCGACTTCACGGTAGAAGATGCCGAGAGATTGCTAAATCAAAAGCTTAACGGAGTCTTAAAGTCCACTAAAAACACCATGGAAAGATGGAGCAAGCAGATTTTACACGTATGGGCTGCCTCTCTTGCAGAATCTGTTCTGATTGTCAGAAGCTTATAATCAAATCCCCAAGGATATTGAAATCCAACCTTGTGGTGTTAGTGACTTGTCACGGAAAATAAACGAAGTGTTTTCGATTAACATTACATGACACTTTTGTATTTTAAAATCCGTTGTAAAAAATGTAAATAGAGAATCCCTTTCTTTTAAAAAATTAATTTTTGTAAATATTTATCTTATTCGTGGATTGGGAGTATTTGTTTTAATTAGCTGCCAAATTTTTATCAAATACTTGACCCAATGCTCGAAAGGGCGGGGGGCAAGCTAGTTTGGTCGCTGTGCACATATTTGGGATATTTTGTATGTCTTCTCTACTTATGTAAATGATTGTCCCTGTATTTTTACCTAATTTGTTTTTCTGTAAATAAGTGTAGGTCGTCAGCCATATAGTAATAAAATTTATTTATAATAATATAAACAACTGAAACTGAACTGCTAAAATATTTTTTAGAAACCTTGTATGAATTTGTTTAATAATAATAAATTTATATACTGGTCTGGACTGAGTAGCTACTTTTTTTTTCTCGTATTGAAGGTAGTGTCTGGGTAGTGTGTCCGCACTTGAATAATTCTATTACAACCCATGATTTGTGATTGACAGCTGTCAATACTTTATTTAAAAATTGTGCGGAGGAGCAGTAAACCTTATGGTTAGTTTGGATCAAGAGGTTCGGCTTGCAGCTAGCCAGGGTCATTGTGTTGTAATTGTTGGGCGAGGCACTTTACTTTTACAGTGTCTCTCTTCATCCAGGAGTATAAATGGGTGCCAG